CATTCACTGGCCAAATGTATAACGATGCTACTAGGTCTGTTACTTCACATGACACTAATCCACTGAGGGGTACTCTCTCGGGACTCATTGCACACTGGCTGTGAATAGCAGGTCTCTGCCCACCCACATCTTTAAGAGCCTACACTTTCTAACAGCTCTCTTCCAGGCTTGGCTCCCTTAGAAAGGGGAGACGTGGGGACTTCCTCCTTGCCACCAGGACAGACCCGTGAGAGCCTTCCGCACCTTGAAGCAGCGAAGGTCGTGCAGGATATTCTTTGTCTAGTCTATGCCAGGAATATCTGATTTAATAAAGCAGACTTTAAGTAAGCTCAAATTCCTGCTGTTTCTTCTACAGTAGACACTTGACATTAGCAAGAATCCCACATCTGCAAATATTCAGGAAGACCGTTTTCCCCACAAAATGAAGTAAATTATAACTAAAAAATTTAAGTGGCTCCTTCAAATCCCTAATGATTTTATAAAAAAGGCACTCAAGTCTTTCAAAATGCTAATTAAAATCCATTTCTCTTGAGTCATATTTTTGTGGAGAATCATGTGTTTCCTGGGCATACCTTCACATCAAAGGTCAATGCCTTCTCCACTTTTACTCCAGTTTTGTCTTTCTGATGACAGGCAATTCAGGGATAGGCAAGAGCATTCCTCAAGCAGTTTAGGAATCCCGCTTGTTTCGGAAAAAGAACCCAGCATGGGCTATTGCTTCACAGACCGAAGTCTTCACCAAATCCAACGTGCTGCTTGCTGTCCTCTGAAATGCCCATTTTCTGAGTAAGAGCAATCAGTCTTACATGCTTCTGTTTTCCTCATTTGCTTAATTGGATGCCTTTCTTTCTGGTCCACTTTTCACTGAGAAACATGACAAGAGTCACCATGTGACTTCAAGTAGAGAATTGAAAAGCTGTGGTCAGGTGGCCAAGTTTACGTGGAGCCCTGCTATCTCCTGCTGAGTGCCCATCATTCAGGGAGTGAGCTTCAAATTCTTACCTCAAAAAAATGACAGGTGACAACATGTTTTAGAACTTCAGGGCTCCCTAGAATAGGGAGTAGTCAATCCACTGATACCAGGGTTCTTCAGAAATTATAGGGGTTTTTTTGCTTTTAATTTCCAGTTTTTTGTTGTTGTTTTTATTCTTATTTTTTATGTTTTTATTGATTTCAGAGAGAGGAAGGGAGAGGGAGAGATAGAAGCATCAATGATGAAAGAGGATTATCAATTGCTGGATCCTGCATGCCCCTTGCTGGGGATCAAGTCTGCAACCCGGGGATGTGCCCTGACCAGAAATCGAACTGTGACCTCCAGGTTCATGGGTCAACAGTCAACCACTGAGCCACACCAGCTGGGCCAGTTTTAACATATGCTTGTTTAATGATTTCAGGTTAATATTTGGTCTGTGGTCTTATGTACATTTATCTGAATGCTCATTTGATCTCAGTATATTGGTATTAAACAATTTTCTTCCTATAGAAATATATTTTCCCTGTGCAGTAACCAAGAGACTAGATACTGGTGCTTATTCCAGACCACTTAGTGATTTAACACCACCTAACACAGTACCTGGCTAACAGAGTAGAAACAAAATACATGTTGTTAATGAATGTCTTTCAAAGTAATTTAGAAATACTGAGAGGGGGTATGGGTTTGATATGTCCTCAGGCCATCGATCCCAAATCTTAAACCCAATTCTGAATTCTGAATTATCAAGGAACCCTTTAATCACACCACCAACCCATCTTGAAGAAACAATTTTTTAGTGTCCTCCAGTCCATGTCTCAGTCAGTGATAAACTATTAACCAAATGGCTTTAGACCTCTGATTTGTAAAGCCAAATGAACATGGCTAACAGTTACTGAATACAGTGAAGCACAATGATCAAGCTGAATAAGGGGATTATTCAGGATTTTTGTTATTGCGAGTAATACAAACCTAGCGAACTGGCTTAAGTTTAGAAAAAGGAAAGTAGCTCTCATTGCTTGGAATGCTACAAGGAGAGCTTTCATAACTGAAAGCAGAGCTGTAGGAACAAGACATCTCAAGGTCCCAGAGTCTCCTGAAGTTTCTCTCTTCCCAACTCTCATCTCTCAGTCTCTCATTTCCTGTGGACAGACTCTTTCCACATACAGGGCACATCACCTTGGCATCCCCAGCAAAGTGAGAACACTTTTTTCTTTCATACAAAATCTCAGGTAAAGACTCTAATTGGCCCTGCTTGGGTCACACGCCTGTTCTTTGGATCAAACATGTTTGACAACAGGAAAAGATACTGTGACTGGGCAGGCTTGGGTCATGTGACCACTCATTTGGCCCTTTTCCCAGAAGAGTCATGGGAAACCTTGCAAGGCAGATAAAGATTATTACCATGGTCCATTACAGTGAACTACCCAAAAAGAGTACTTCTAATAATAATGTGGGAAGATCATCTACACTGTGATTTACTATATGTGACTGTGTATATTGTATATTGCATCAAGCACTATTCTAAACAGGAAAAAATATATGCAAAGGCAGACAAACTCTCCTCCCATGTGTGCAATTTGTCCAAATATCAGTGTAAAAAATATGTCACTCAACAATCAAATCCCATTGTCCTTAAACCTCATCATTAGTAATTTCATCTTTTGGCTTAAAGCTTAAAGAATTAAAGCTGAAGTTTAACCAGCGGAGCTCTAAAGTCTTTTCTAGTCTATGAATCTCCAGTTAGAATAAAAATACCCCTGGAAGAACAGTATACCAACCTAATAGGGTGTACTTTTAGTTTTATGAGCTAAATTGTGTTTCCCTACTACCCACAATTCATAATTTGAAGCTCTAAACCTCCAGTACCTCAGGATGTAACACTATTTTGAGACAGGGCCTTTAAAAATTAAGATTAAATGAGGTCATTTGGATGGTCCCTAATTCATTATGAGTGGTGCTGCTATAAGAAGAGATTAGGACACAGGCACATATACAGAGAAAACTATGTGAAGACAAAGGGAAAAGACAGTCATCTATAAGCCAACCCTGCCATCATTTTCATCTCTGACTTCCAGCTTCCAGAACTGGGAGAAAAAAAGTCCCTGTTGTTCAAAATCACTCAGCCTTAGGTACTCTGTTATTGCAGCCCTAGCACAGATAGTAAACCAAGGATTTCAAAAAGGGCTAAGGCACAGTTGAGGTAAATTTGATATGTGGGATGGAAGGCCAAAAGGTTCTTTTAAGGTTCTGTTTTAAAGTAGAATTCCCCCTGAGATTCAGGGGCCAGTACTAGTGACCTAATTAACTGAGGAATACTGGTAAAAATATAATAAAATGGGCAGGAAGTTAAGGGAAGTAAAGAGAGAAAAATGGATGACATGCTTCACCTTTTTCAAAATTTTACCAGGGATAAGCATAAGGTGATTCTATCAGAGCATGGCATTCTGGTTGGCCTGGCCAAAGGGCACATACCCAACCCTGGGGGTCTGTGGGGAGCCTGTCTCCTACATGACTTCAGGTTTACCTGAGCTCCTGATATGTGTCTCCATTGAGAATTTTGGAGCTCTCAGCATCCTGCTCTGACCCTTGGCTTTGAGAGGCAAGTGGCTGAATGGCAGTTCCTAGTCACCTTTATGATGCTCACCAGGCATAGTTTTCTGCTGAAGCCACGGCTGTCTGAGGCATTAGGCCTGCCATTCTCACATGATATGATAGGAGGCTGGTAGTTCACACTGGGGTGACACCTGAACATTCTGATTATAGTATGTTTGCCCTACCAGTCCTCTGCTGCTGCTGACCCCTACATCATTGCTTTCCCACCAAGGACTCATCCCACCCACCTGTGCCATGTCAAACCAAACCTTACTATTATGGAGAACCTGCTCCTGGCCTCCTTCCTAGGCCTTCACCCACCCTGGTGGATTTGCCTAGATCCTGGGCTTGCCTTACCCTGGCTCATTTATCATTTTACTACTCTTGTCTTAGCTCTGACCTCTGTCCTTTGGCAAATCACATTGGCATTGGGAGGTTCTCAGAACTAGAATTCAGGACCCACCAACTTGTGCTGTTAAATCATATTAAAGTTCCACCACAAAGCACAGCGAGCACTTGGAAAAACACATCCGTTCATTGGGAAAGAGCCAACACAGCATACCCGCTACACAAGAACCTGACACTAAAGGGAAATATTATTGTTAAACAGACTGATTGCTAAATGAACAGGGTTTCTGAAAATCACATCTATTATATAGGACTTTTCAGTTCATAAGCTTCAGAATATCAGATCATCACATTGGCAAAGCAGTGCTTGTAAGGCTGTGGGGATGAAATCTGGAAATTGCTCCATTATTGAATAATACAATGATATTTGCCAACATGGGATTTTTGCTCGTGCGTGCATTCAAATAGAATGTCTGACCACCATTGTTTATAGCCCAAATATGTTAATATCTCCATATAACAAATTCCACAGAGGAAATATTTAAATATTCCACAAATGAAATATTTAAATAATGCAAGCATTGTGGATCCACCGAATACTGCCTTTTACCTTTATGTTCTTATGGTCTTTTTTTTTGGTCTTTTTTAATCACACACAGACATTAAAAAAAAAAACACAGCACCTGATAACGTCAAAAGATGAGAAAGGCTAAATTCAGGGAAATAAAGGAACCATAAATCAGAAAACTTCGGAGCTGCTAGAAAGACACTTTAATTTTGTAGACAAAAGACTGCATTAAGGAGGAATAATGCAATAATAAAGGTGAACGAACCTCTATTGTCTGGCGCCTCTCTCTGTGGGAATTTTCCCACCCGGCAGCTGGGGGGGGAGGGGCGCCGGCTGCGGCTGCGCCTTTATTCTGCACCCTTTCCCGCCCCAGCCCCTCCCCTTCTCCGTCAATAAATGTCTGCAATCATATTCTCGAGCTCCTGTGTGATTTCAAGGTTCATCTCTTCCATGCAGCGCAAACACTAATTATCCCAGCTGTAATTAGTAAGATAATTAAATACTGGCTCGCTCGGCTACCTTGGGTCGGGTCATGGTTCTCCCAGAAGACCTTGAGCAGCTCCTCGAAGCTGATGCGCTCCGGCTGGTACACCACTCGGACGACTTCTGCGTGGCCAGTTTTTCCTTGAAAGAAACAGAATGTACAACCACAATTCACTGACAGCATCAATTTATGACAAGTTATTTGTTTCAAAAAAAAAAAACCCCACTGGACCACGGCTAAAATTCTTCCCTCTGAAGGAAGGGTGGGAGCATAATTATATTTTAGCTGATGGTTTTGCACTAGGTCTCTGTCACTGGTTCCTTTTCCCTAAAAGCATGCAGTTGTCACCTAGCAAGCTTCCCGAGGATGATGACTTTTCCATTGTGCTCTAATTTTTTTTTTTTTTAATTTCACAGGAAAACACACTCCAGTTTTCATTTTTCTAATTTTGCCCTTATGAAACCCAATGGATCCCCTTCGACACAGTGCTGGAGATGTGAAACTCTGCAAAGGGGAATGAGCTGGTGTATTTTTATCACCACCCCACGGTATATGCACTAAGCTCGGCTGCAATCCAGTGAGATGGTGCTGGACAGAGGAACCTGTAAAATGCACTTAGAACTTGTTCATGTAAGATAGATGCGTTAACAGAGCAACAATTTGCTCTGTTAACACTGAGGCAAGGGTCAGGTTCAGACACCCAGTGGGTGGGAAGTGCATTCTCAGCCTAATTTGTCTCTGTGATAAACAAGTACTGTAGCAATTGTCTGTCCCCAGCACCAGCGCCCATTCTCAAAGGTGGGCTCCACGCTGCGGATCCGTGAAGCAGGTATTTGCAGTACCACTTATTCCTGTGGAATTTATGTGCTTCCTTATTTTACAGTGTTAGGACATAGTAAATAACAGACCCCTCCAGGCAAACATCATGTCCATATTTAACTTTGTTTTCCAGCTCTCTTTGATCGTCTAATGTGTAGCAAAGAATTTAGACTTCCTGCCTAACAGGGTATCTGGCCTTTGCCTTGGCCTCTGGAAGGTAACCTATGTCGCACCTGATAGGAGTATCCTTCTTTAAGGTGGGGCTGACCACACCAACAGTCTCAAGATGGGGGCTGGCCACACTGCACCTTAGGGTAGGGTTGGCTATACCCAACAGTGTAAAGGTCAGGGTTGGCTATGCCAAAAAGACCAACCATGTGACTGAGAGTGGGGGCTTTGGGTAACACAGTATAAGCTGCCCTGGAGACTGAGTTCCACTCCATCGGCAACCAATCAATCATGCCTATGTAATGAAGCCCCAATAAAAACTCCCCAAGGCTTACACGAGCTTCCTGGTTGGCAATACTCTGCATACTGTCACTGATGGATGCCAGGAAAGTAACACACGGAGAGTAACACTTTGACTGCACAGGACTGGACACTGAAGTTCTGCACTAGAACCCTGCCAGTCTCCGCCCTATGCGTCTCTCACTTAGGCTGATTTGACCAATATCTTTTGCCTGTAATAAACTGTAACTATGAGAATAACAGCTCTCAGTGAGTTCTGTAAGTCCTAACAAATTATCAAACCCCACTGGTTCCAGGAATCCCTTGAACTTGCACCTCAGTTTGTAAACATGTTTTCGCATATGTTGGTGGTCTCCCCTTAATTCTCACAACCATCTTATGGAGTGGGCAGGGAAGGCAGAAGTCCTCACTTTACAAATGCAAACACTGAGAAACGTGTGAGTTAGATTTACACTAGGTCACATAGCTAGCGAATTCCTGGACCGCAACCTAAAATAATACCTTCTGATTTCTTGTCCAGGTTTCTGTCTAATGCGTCAAAACAAAGAGAGCAAAGTGAACATGAATCCAGAAAAAGAAAGAAAATCTATTCAATATCTTTAAACTTTTTTAATATTTAAATTTATTTTTATTGTTGAAACAATAATTTGCAAACAATATGAAGCTTAGAAAGTGTGCGTAAGTATAAAAAAAGAAAAATCACCTATACTCCTACTATATAAGGTAAGTACTATCAATAATTTTCACTCATCTCTTTCTGGATATGAACCAGATATGCATGCACATGCACGCACGCACGCACGCACACACACACACACACACACACACACAACCCACCACCACCACATACAATTTGTTTCAGTGTAATCACTGTATCATGCTTTATCCACTTACCAGTATGTTGTAAGCATTTCCCCATGTCACTGATTTTTTTTTAAATACTATTTATAGTGACTATATAATACTCCAAAGAAGGTTGTACTATTATTACTTATTCAATCATTCCCCATCATTGGGCATTTAGATTGAATCCTGTTTTTATCTAGGAATGTAAATATTTTTTCACATTTCTGGGGCTGCCTCAAGCCATAGTTATATATGTGGAATTTTGAAATCAATGTATATAAACATTTTTAAATTTCTTGATACCTAATGTCAAACTGCCAGTTTTCTCACCCCACTGGCAGCATATCTGAGGGCCAGTTTGATCATTACCAAATTGTAGCTGGAATGTAGTGCCCAATCATTTTATTTTCAATGAGTTAAAAAGTCATGTTTATTAATAATTTTAATTTCTTATTTCTCTAATTTTTGTAATATCCATTTTATATTGGGTTATATTTTATTATTAATTAGTCAGCCTATATAATTTTAATTCAATTACTATAGTCATGTCAGTTAAGCATCTAGACAGATTTTATGCTAACAGATATGAAAAGAATAATGGGGAAATTATAGGAAGAATATATATTAAGTACAATAATCATGTTGTAAAACCACTTTTGATCTACTTTAAAATATTACTATTTTGTATTCTGAAATGTTTAAAGAAATGATTTAACTACAGTAAGAATTAAAGCCCTCTGAATATTAAAAATGGCAACAATATGTTACCAACATGACAAATATATTTGGTAAGAAAGGTATAGAAACCACACTAGAAACAGGCAAAAGATGTAAATACACATAGGAAGACAAAAACACAAATATGACTAAAACTGCTCGCCATTTTTAGTGACAAAAGGAAATACTGAAACATTAACATACCATCTCTTACTCATTACATTTTGTAAAGCCTCTTATAAGTGTACCTAGTGCTGACGAGGAGTCTGTAAACTGGCACCCTGACTTGGCTGGTGAAGTGTAAACCACTCCGCCCTTGTGAAACCCTGTTGGTATACACTGAAAAAACCACAAAGATTAAGATTAATTTACCCTAAATGATCCAGGAAATAGATCTCAAAGCTATAACCCCAAACAATGGAAAAGATATAGGCACACACGGAAAATTCACTCCATCATCATTACAGTGGTGGAGTATATAAGTAAACCGTAAGTCAAAAAACAAACGAGAAACAAATTAGGGAAGAGCCACAGGATGAAATGTCATGTAACCATTAACATACAATGTCCCAACCCTAGTAAAAGCTGTTACTACTCACTGAATGCTGATAAAATGGTAGGCACTTCTTTAATGCTTGCAACAAATGTTTTCTATTGTGGAAAATACATATAGCATAAAATTTACCATTTAACCACCTTTAAGTGTACAACTAAGTGCATTCACGTTGTTGTGCTACCATCACCACCTTCCATCTCTAGAACGTTTTTTCACCTTGCAAAATTGAAACTGTATCCGTTAAACACGAACTCCCCATTTCCTTCCTCCCCTCAGCCCCAGGCAGCCACCATTCTACTTCTACCTCTTGAATTCAACTACCCGTGGTACTTCATATAAGTGGAACCATATAGTACTTTTGTGCGTGACTGGCTTATTTCACTTAGCATAATGCCCTCAAGGTTCATCCATATAGAACCATGTGTCAGAATTTCCTTCCTTTTTTAAGGCTAAATAATATTCTATTGTATGTGTACACCACATTTGGTTTACCCATCCACCTGTCTATGGACACTTGGGATGCTCCCACCTTTCGGCTAAGGTGACTAACGCTGCTATGAACATGGGCATACAAATATCGCTCACAACCACTTTAATAAGAGAGATGTGGTCCCCATTTTACATGCGAGGAAATTAAGGCCTCTCTACAAGCTTTCTCACACAAAGTCACACAGCCAGTAAGTGACAGGATCCAGTGAAGAGCCAACACGATCTCAATGGGCTCATTCTAAGACCCTGAGCCATACTCCTGAACATAGGCACCGGAAGTCACCAAGGGACAGAAATTATAACACAGGCAGTGGCCCAGGTGAGAAGTCACAGCTGTGGGGTAACTGACATCCAGGCTCCTCAAGACTGTTTTCCAAGATTAGGTTTTTCTTTTGTGGCAGCAATAAGGGATCAGGAAAGATTTCCACTCACCAGAAAAGACTTCCAGACATAATCTGAGCACTGACATTATTTGTGGAGAGGTTTTAAAAATCTTGGTTGTTTAAAAGACACTATTACCATTAAAATTCAAGATCCACCTGCATTAACAAACAGTGTGGAGAAGCCTTCATCAAACTCACCTTTAAGTTTCTTTATTTTATTTCTCCAAAGTACAAGGGCCTGTGTAAAAATACACAGTGCAAATGATCAAAAGGATTAAGGGGCGAGAAACCACTTACAGAAATGTCCACGCCTCCAGGAACTCACCAATGCACAGGCTAATTAGATTCCCGAAACCAATCTGCAAATGCTTTCTGGTGCTTCCAGAGATAAAAGGCTGTATCTTAAAAATACTTTGAGCTGTTTCTTCACATAACTTTGTGCAAACAGCATAATAGATGTGATGTGCAGACGTGCTTGTTAACAAGTCACAGCAGCATGATAAGTGCTTTCCCATTGTTGTTCAAAAATACCTTGAAGGGAAAAATGAAAAGGATGAGCATCCTCCCTGGGCACACCCTGTGTCGCCTCACCCGGTGACAACACAGGAAGGTGAATGAATGCAGCGGGGTGGGTGTGGGCAGTCAATCCTTACTAGACAAAACATCCCAGAAAAGACACAGGGGAGTGCTCTGGGGGCAGATCGTCTAGAGCTTTTGAGAAGCCAAGTCATCCATAGAGCCAGGTGTTTTTAAAGAGATCCCCAAGATAAATTAGCCAATTTTTAAAGCCCTGTGTCATAGCTTTCCATCCCATGGGGGATATGTTATCTTCAACTCTTCCAGGTTAGCATGATTCATTTTT